GCTTAAATGTGCCAAAGTCTGAGTTCCCTGATCTAAGCTTTGCTGCATCTTTGTCCTCTGCAATGGAGTCCTTCCCTCTCCTCTTAGGAATCCAGACTACTTTCCACCCCAGTGAGGGACAGATTGAGGATTAATAGCAAACTCAAATTATTTGGCTTTTTTTAGCCCATGCAATTTAGTGTCAGGGTTGGATCACCCCTGGATCTTATCTTACAGACAGTGTAGAATACCCAATTCCATGCAATGTGGAATCCACACTGCACATCGGGCATTGATACAATTGAGCAGGTCCAGAGGTATTTCACAAGAAGGGTACTCCATTCCTCTGCTCACAATAGAATCCCTTATGCCACCAGGCTCGAAATTTTGGGCTTGGTAAACCTAGAACTACACCGCCTACAATCTGACCTATGCACAGTACACAAAATTGTCTGCTACAACATCCTACCTGTCTATGACTACTTCAGCTTCAACCTCAACAATACTTGGGCAAACAATAGATACAAACTCAAGGTAAATTGCTCCAAACTCAATTGCAGAAAATACGACTTCAGCAACAGAGTGGTCAACGCCTGGAATGCTCTACCTGACTGCGTTGTTACATCCTCTAACACCCACAGCTTCAACCATAAACTGTCTACCATGAACTTCACCAGCGTACCTACCATCCCTGTCCTACTGTCCCCCTTTATTTGTACTTATTTCCTTTGTTCATGTCCATGTTTATACTTATACCTGTTATCTTGTACACATTTGACAAACTGAATAAATAAAATAAATAAATAAATTGCAGACAGTTGAATCTCACTAAGTCTCCCTGAATGGCAGATATTACTTAAGATGCTACATATTAAGCCAATCATATGACCTGTATGCTCCATAAAACTCATGGGTTGTTGGAGAAGACTCTTGAGAGCCCCTTGGACTGCAAGGAGATCAAATCAGAAATCAACCCCAATTGTTCTTTGGAAGGACAGATCCTAAAGATGAAGCTCAAATACTTTGGCCACCAAATGAGAAGAGATGACTCATTGGAAAAGACCCTGATATTGGGAAAGATGGAAGGCAAAAGGAGAAGGAGATAGCAGAGGATGAAAGGTTTAGATAGTGTTGTTGATGCAATGAACATGAATTTGGGCAAACTCCGGGAGATGGTGGAGGATGGGGAGGATGGTAAGCTATGATCCATGGGATCATGAAGAATTGGACATGACTTACAACTGAACAACAGCAATATAAGACTTGTACCACAGTGATGATTCTTAGCTAACACAATGAAAGCAGGATTTGTGATTATACAATTATACTCCACTAGCTAGTCTCAAAGAAACACAGAAGCCTATTCTTCAGAAGATTTCAAGTCCCATCATAGGCAGCTCCCAACTTTCTTACTCGCGTGCAATCTATACCCAAATAAAATGTTATAGTCTTCACCTTTCTGAGAACTTTTTATTCCATGAGGCAAAAATAATAACTTTCAGCATCTGCCATATGCTTCTTTATCCCTCAATGCATTGTCCTAAAATTTGAACACATCTTCCTAAAAATAATAAGAGCTTGATGCATATGAAGGCACGACACCAGCTGTGATTTCACATAGTGGTGTACATAATTATTATTAAATATACAACAATGTGGAATCACAGCTGCCAGTTCATTTGCATCATCAGTCAATTGCAAAAAGCAGCTTTCCTTGGAACAGCTTACATCTTGCAATGAGCCCTTTAACACCATCCGAACAATACACAGATGTTGTTCTGTCTATCCCAGGTCATTGAGAAAGACTGGATAGGTGGATAAAAATGCCAAATCCAGTCTAAACATCTGGCTAACTATGCAGTGAACAATAATAGCAATACATACTAATTAATTAATCAAAAATTAAAATCTTCACTCTGAAATTTGCAATACAAACTGATCATTGTCACATCAATTATCTAAACTATGGATAGTTGATGTGGAAATACCAGGGGATAGTAGAATAGGAGACAAAGAATTGAGGAAAATCGGAAAGTATCAAGGTCTAAAAATCAAAGTGGAAAGATTGTGGCATAAATTGGCCATGATGGTCCCAGTGTGGACTTACTGGGAACTATTCCCAAAAACCTTAGACAACATTTAGAAAATTTAAGCACTGACAACATTTCCATCCAGTCTAAACATCTGGCTCACTGTGCAACCAACCACATAATGTATAGTTGGGGGGGGAAAACACATCACTTCTTATCTCTAAAGAAAAAGAAAACTGACTTTGTTCCCTGAAGATCTCCAGCAGGGAACAGGAGTCTATTAGGAGTGCTCTTCATATAAATCCTTCATCTTATGATCAGCAAGGAGGAAGGTATAAATAAACCGTATATCACAGAAAACACTGCCAGTCTCCTGTGACCTCCTTCAAGGAGACTGAACTACAGGGAACACTGGGCAACCTCTAAAATGTTTTATGGTTTGGATGTTCAGTTCAATATAAATTCATCAAGTATTACCCTCTGTATTAGCTGTTTCATTTGTCAGGGGGTTTACACACCACAAGCTATAAGATCCAATAAAAAAAAATCCTGCAGCCAGTTTTGTTAACCCTACCATGAAGGAACTCTGAGGTTGGAAGACATCTGCTTTAAACTCTTACTGTTCTTATGCTACTCTATTTCTTTTTTTTGTCCATGTGATGCATGGTTTATTTAGAACATATGCATAAGTGCACCTTCTTGAAGGTATGTCTCACAATAGGATTTCCGAGCAACCCTGATTGAACATTGTTTTTCAGTCCATAAGCTGCCTGTTCATGTAGGGTGATCATGAAATAGGTAAAGTACTTTCTTAAGCTAATCAGTGTGGGTAAGAGTATGAGACCTTTTTCGTGCGGCTGTTGACAAAAAATAGGATTGCCGACATGATTACCAATGTCTGATGACAGATATGGAAGAANCAACCTTGAGCCAGTGAGATTTGAACTGCTGAACTGCAGGTAGCAGTCAGCTGAAGTAGCCTGCAGTACTGCACTCTAACCACTGCACCACCTCAGCTCAGCAAGGTGACATTTGAGTTTTGAGTGCAGTTCTTCCTCTATTTTGATCAGCGTCCAGAAACTGGACAAAACACAAGAGAAATATTAGGAGATTTGATGAAGTATTGGAAATTCTGAAACAGACTCCCCATCTCCGCACTTGCAGATCTGGGGAAAAGAAACGAGCCCTGCATAAATTTCTCTCATCTTTATGTAGAATTTTTTATATAGACTTTACAGCATAGTTATGCTAATATTGATTTATAACTACTATAATAGTGTCTTAACTATTGTGCTGAGGTTAAAGCCAGCAGGATTGACTAAATAAGACATTGTTGGTTAATACTAGGGTTATAATTTGAAAAGTGTAATGTTCATGTGAATCAACCTAAGTTCCATCTGCCATTGTCAAATGAGCGAGAAAAAAAACTTGCTTGCAGTTGAATCTAATCATTAGATGCCACAGATCTCCTGCCATAACTGAAGGGGTCAGATGCAGTGGTGGGATTCAGCCAGTTTGTACCACTATGGGAGAACCGGTTGTTAACTTTCTGAGCAGTTTGGTGAACTGGTTGTTGGAAGAAACCATTAGGACAGAGAACCGGTTGTTACATTATTTGAATCCCACCACTGATCAGATGCTTGCAGTTTTGTGCTATTTCACTGCACAACACCATGGATAGAATGAAAACTCTTCTCCATTTCATTTATGGTATCCCACTCAAAGCAGAATTAAATCTTATTTCAAAGCAACATGTCTGAAGACCTTAAGGGGTAAAAGAGAGACAAAATTTATCAAGAAGGCAGGTAGGCATTGATCAGGCTGTGGTCTCCAAGATAAAGTTGCTAATCAGACATATTCAGAAGATATTCAAGAAATGCTGGAATACTCCTGCAGAAGATGCGCATCTGCTGAAATTATTTCTTAGCTCAACTCTAACGACAAGGACTAATACTGCATTTGCATTCACTCTTCCTGCTTTCACGTCTCCTGAGGTCTTAGGACCAGCAGATCCTGAGTGGAAATGTATGCTAAGAAAGAACGCCCATGCCAAATCACCAGCCACCAATGTGGTCATTAATGCTTCGCTTGCTTTTTCATAATGTTTATTTTTTGCTCTAGCATTTTAAAATTGCAAATTTCTCTAGAAATCCTGGGGAAAGAGTGAAATATAAATCTAGCAATAAATATATGATACAGATATATGCTGCCCACAACCATTGCAAGATCTTGTACACCTCAAAGTCTTACTTTCTTGAGTCTCACCTTGGAAAAAAACACAACATCTCATTCTATAAAATGACAACAGATAATTGAATTCTTTTTAAAAATAAATAAATAAAAAAGATACTAGCAAGTATAATTTCTGAACATTTTGCTTCCTCTGTTCAAACATGGTCATACCAAGACAGTCACCACTTTCAGTGTTAATCCTTGTAGGTCGCTGCCCAAACGCCGTTCTTGCAAGCTTCCATTCAGCCCCTTCTTCGAGTCCCACGTTGCCAACTGCAAATGGAAATAACACTGCTGTCAGGGTTCCAAATAGCATCCAAAAGTAAATCAGAGTCCAAGGCAAAATATTGCTCAAAGTTCCACT